TGTTACGTTGCTAAAATAAAACAGCTGTGATCACACACTCAGATAAAGCCATTGTTTAACAAATATTTTTATTAAACATCTCTGTAGTGGAGATGAGTCCAGCTCCCCAAGAGCAGAGCAGGCTGCTTCCCGGACCACCCATTGCTCCCGAGGTGAAACAGCCCATCCAGCTGTTGGGGGGTGGGGGAATGGGATCAGACACACTGCACACCATGGCAGGCACACAGCAGCTCCTGTCTGCTCACAGACAAATTGAACTGCAACAACTGGAGCTTCTCATGCAAGGAAACAGGTCACAGCCTTTTATCAAATCAAGCATTTGACCAGCAGTGATGGCATCAATGGGGCTTCTTGGAAGGCATGTCCCCAAAACTGACAAGGACCCGTGCAGCCCAGGGCAGAGAAGACTCAGTCACTGAGGTCAGCTGATTACAGGAGGCAGAGGGGGAAAGCAGGCAGAGGGAGGTCAGAGGTACAACAGGAGCAGCCAGGAAAATAAATTGGCCATTGGTATACAGTAAATAAACTGTGAGCTGGGAATAAAATCCAGAAGTCCTGATTCCTTGTCTCTGCTCTGGTGCCCCAGTCCTAATCAGATCCTCCCTCAAAATGGCTTTCTAACATAGACAGTCCAGGAGACTGAAACATTTATCCAATCTACAAACTAAATGTAGCAAAAGATATATAAAGGTTTCCTTCAAACAGTCACTCCACCATTTCTGTAAGGGCCTCAAAGATCTTGTTAATAAATACTGCACTTTTCCTCCATGTTGGCCATCAGAATTTCTGAGCTTGCAGAATTTATCATTCATCTACTTATGAACTGGTGCCAGGATATTTTCAAGAATTATTCGAATTTAAAATCCAGGTAAGCTTCTACAGTTCTATCATCCACCAGTCTGTGTTTCCTAGGGTTATTGATGTTTTTTTGCGGTTATCAGATGAGTTGTAAAACCAAAACATTTCCATGCACAGCATTTATAAATATCCAATACTGATTGAGATTTATATCACTTTTCTATTTCAGTAAAATAATAAAATTTCAGGCTAGACAGAAAATCGATTAGGAAAGTATAAAGGTTCATAATCATTAAATTTTCTACATAAAAAAGCTACACAATCTAAAGGAGTACATAAGGAGACTGAAATTTGTGTAACTGCTCCTAGTCTTTAATTGTAAACATGCACTGTTTACCATGGAATGTGCACTGTGGTTTTCCCAAACAGATTTTTCACAAACCAATTAAGCAACTGGTCTTATCTAAGAATGCAAAGTGCCAAGCAAAAAAAAAAAGCAGATTTAGGATGGGCATGGAATAACTGAAATCTAGCCATTGCAATACATATTGATCAGTTTGCCTAATAACCCATCAGCCACTGAATACAAGTGCTAAGTTTTAATTTAAGTTTTAGCAGCCACTTGGAACTTGGAGCCTATGGGTCATATCTTCAGTGGTGAAGATCAGAGCAGTTTTTCTGTAATCCACAATTATACAAGTTTGGAACTGGTGTAAATATTTCACAGAATCACAGAATATTCAGAGCTGGAAGGGACCCACAGGGATGACAGAATCACTGAATTAGGGTATGGTTTAGGCTGGAAGGGGCCATGGGCAGGGACACCTTTCATTATACCAGGGTGCTCCTAGCCCCAGTGTCCAACCGGCCTTGGACACTGCCAGGGATCTCTGGGCACTCTGTGCCAGGATCTCACCAACTTTTGTTGTCAAGAATTTCTTCCCAATAGCTCATCTAAACCTACACTCTATCAGTAGAAATCCATTCCCCCATGTCACAAGATCACAGAATATTCTGCATTGGAAGGGACCCACAATGATCAGCAAGTCCAGCTCTGAAGTGAATGACCCACACAGGGTCCAAACCCACAACCTTGGCATTATTAGCACCATGTTCCAACCAACTGATAAAGGCCCTGCCACTCCACGCCCTTCCTTGCAAACAGTCCCTCTCCATCCTTCTCAGTGTGATCATCCAGCTCCTGTCCCTGCAGACCCCCCAGCAATCCCCCTGGGCATCCCTGCCAGCGCTGTCCAAACGCTCCCGGAGCTCTGGCAGCCTCGGGGCTGTGCCCGTTCCCTGGGAGCCTGGGCAGTGCCCAGCACCCTGTGAGGAAGCAGAAGCCTTCCCTGATTCCCAGCCCGATCCCGAAGCGCCCGGCCCGCTCCGCCTGGCCGGCGCTGCCCTCTCGCGGCACAGCCGGGCTCGCCCGGGGACCGAAGCGCAGCCGCACGGCACATCCAGCTGCATGTGTTTGCCTCCTGAACGAAAAGAACTCATCGGAAATTAGTTTAATTAAGTTAAATGCTTTATTAGTGTTCATGCAATGTTTCTGGCGGACCTTTAAAATGATCACAGCAGTCTCAAGGCCGGTCACTCCGAACTGTAATAGAATGTAAACCTGTTTAACAAACTCAGGTATGGAAACAGCAAAATCATGCCCTGAGAAAAGTAGTTACTGATTCAATAGTTCTGGGAATAAATGCAGAGCCAGGAGCACCGTTGTTCTGTATGGACTGGCTGCTGTTTACCAAGCTTTCAGTGCTGATCTAATTAATTTCCAGACTGTTTGTGTGGGCTTCACTTATTGGTTCTTTCAGCATCCTATTATTTAGAGCAGGGGAAGAGATTGAAACCTGATTTGGTTTCCTCAGAACACTTAATTTTAAAAAGATGCACTTGGGGTTTCCATATGGAACAAATACATATACACCTAAACTTTTTTGTTCTTTCGTACGGGAGTATGATCACATAATTTACAACAGAGAAGCCATCCACGGATGCCAGCTGGCTCCATTCTATTTTCATTATTCAGCAATGACAAACGGCTGTTTTAGCATGAGCACTTTACCTGTGAGTACTTTTTTCTTCAGAATGCAACACTAAAACAGGTGATTGTGGTGTGTGATTACTATCATCGTTCTGTGGAATTTACTGAGAAGTCTAAATTAATTTGAACACATATGATCTGGGAAGTAGTTTTCAAATAGAGTAGGCAGAGACTTCTTGAACCAGTTTAAAGTTTAATGAAAAGTAAACATGGGCTTTAATAAATAAAGTCACTGCTCATTTGCCAGTCAGCTAAAATTCCCCATGCAGCCAAAACACAACAGTAAGTCAGTGAGAGGAATTTTCTACAACCTTTTTCTGAAACAGAATTAAACAGGACTTTAGAATTGGGCCCAGTTCAGGTCAGATCTAAGAGTACAGTGCCTAAAGGAAACACAAAGATTTGCAAGCTCCAATGTACAGTTTCTAGAAATGTGAGTAATATGGAATCAAACTTGCCTAAAGTAAAAAAATTCAGGGAGTTATAAAATGTACACAGCAAAGGTGGCCTTCTAATATCCAAAACCAAAGCAAATATATTACATGTGAGAATATTTTCAAGTGGCCTGATCAGAGAGCAGGAAGGAGAAATCCAAGGAGTAATCTGTAGTCAAGGTTTCTCTATACAGAGTACAGAGAATACACACACAAAAAAAGTCCATAATACAGAGAAGGACAGGGCATTTTGAAACAGAGCACAGCTAAGCTGGGAGCTACAGATCACATCAGATATGCATACAGTATTTATATTTTCACTATAATTTCAGACACTCTGCTCAGTTTTACTGCTGAAAACGGGAAACTGACAGTAGGGCCAATAATTTGTGCCTTGATTAGAAAGAGGCTTCAAACAAGTAGTTGCATTCAAGATGTTGATTTTAGCAAAACTAGGCTAAAGTTTGTTTAAATGTGGAAAACTATGTGAGAATCAACCAAGAAATGCGTCAGCTAGAAAGGGTCACCTTACCCTAGGAATTGGAAAAGCAAGGCTTTTCTCAGGATATGGAGCTCACGAGCATGTATCATGAAATACAGTAGGGAATTCACAGAGGGAAGGTCCTGCTGACTACATCAAATAGGGGTCAGGTAGCCTCAAGGCACTAACAGTTCCCAAAAGAACTACTATTTAATGTCTCACTTAAGGTTGTGGATATGCCCATTAATCCATTGGAACAGATTTTCTACATTATCCCAAGTGTCAACAGCCACAATCTGAAGAGCAAGTGTGAGACTACAAAGAAACAAGGAAATTCTCCTTTCATTAGCTACTGTGCTCCCTCACCAAGAGAACACTAAACTAGTTGAATTAATAAAATATACCCCATCTAGTAAGAACATCCTGTAATATGTTGCGTGCAAGCTGGTTTTAGCTCATTTTTCAAGTAGGATAAATTTTTAGGACTTTTCGACTTTCATGTTAATCCCAGATAATAGTGCAGTTTGATAGATTAATCAGATTACAGGAAATGTCAGCATGATTTGATTTTAAATGATGTGAAGCATGTTACTAGAACTGCTACCCTCTCGTTTTATGAAAGGATGACCTGGAAGAATGACAGACAGGGTTCACCACATCTCAACAGTTGCAGACATCTCCTTCAAGATCCTGTTAAAAATATGCTTTGTTTAGTCTGCCTTATCACTGACTGACATTTTCTGACAGCAAGTTATAACAAGAATATTTAAAAGTCATGGACTTTGTCACAACAACGGATTGTGTAAACAAACACTGTGTAAGAAAATTATACACAAAGTTACCTTTTACACATACACCACTGATTTACCACCTGCTACAACCAAATATCTGATGTGTGTTTTCAGTTTAAAACCCCACCTCAGATTCTACCTAGTGCTTCCCATTAATTTGATTCTTGAGCTTCTTTTGCATCTCCCTCGTTCCCCACATCTCTATTCTCATTGGTTACAGCAGGGCTCAACTCATTTTATTTCTGGTTAATCTGATTAGGTAAAAACCTGGGATTGTGATGTCAGTGCATTAGCAGAAGGAAGTAATGCTTCCTGCAGGAAGGATGGCAATTTTGACCTTTTAGAAGCAAGTCATGGTCTGACTGGAATATTAAAACAGAGCAAGCCAAACTGCAGTAGTTACACCAACTCATTCTTTCTGCAAGAGCATCCTTCAAAGAGGGATTATGGCTCATGGACTGCAGGTAAGAAAGCATAATGTCCTTGTCTTTGGTTATTTGCCTGAAGGGAACTTTGGCTGAGGGGGAAAGGTCAGCTTCAGCAAAAATAGCAGAACATTAGAAATACTGGCTAATGAAAGGCTTTGGTTCTTATATTTACTCAGCAGAAAAGAGGGCTTTCAGAGCAGAGGCATCTTGATAGACTCACTTCTCTACAAATGCATGACATTATTTGACTTTAACATACCGATATTCATATTCTTTCATTCTGTGCTGATGAAATAATGAATTTATCTACTGTATGAAATTGCTGTAGTTAATTTTGTTGTTTTTTCCACTTAAACTCAGAAACTTACACCAGTAATTGAACAGATGAGACTGCAACTAAATTAAATGACTAATTCCTCAAGTTATAAACTCATTATTTAAAAATTTAATGATTTAGTATGACAGTTTAGTAGATTGCTTTATTACTATGGGCTGTCACTGTATTATTCAGTATATGCCAAGGCAATATTCAACAATGCACAGGCTTTAATGAGCCTGTAAGGCAGGTTGCTGTGGTGATGGGTGCTCAAACTGATGCAATCCTTACAGTTCTGATTTTGAACCTTTCATTAGGCTTTTAAAAATGCTTCCCACAGAGGGTATTGTTGTAGCTGATATTTGTACCCAAGACTCTCAGTGAGCAGAGTTGCTAAACCAAGTGACAGCTACAAAGCTGCATTGCTGGAGTAGCTTTAAGCAGCAATGACTGTTCACATCTATATGCCTCAAGATTACCTTTACTTTACAGTTACATCCACACAGACAAACTCATCCCTCGCTTGAGCTGAAGCAGTTGTGATGTCACTCATCAAGTGCAGCAGGAAGTTCAGGTTTGGCAAGAAGGCTGACCTTTAACTTGCTGTGCAGAAGAAATGCTGTGCATTTATAACAGCAAAAGCAGATGTAAAGCTGAAGTCCATTGAATACTGCAATCAGTATCATGTTTAGGCAAAAGAAGCTGCTCAAATTTACAGGGAGCATTATCACTGTGTTTAGGCTGCAGTTAAGTAGAATGCAATAGACGTGGGAATTTTGGAGACAAACTAAAACCCAACAACAAAACAAACAGCACCTTTTATACTGGTGTCAGTGACTATCCTTAAAGGTGCTTTTTTGATACTTCAAATGATAATGATGTTTATGTGCTCCAGTAGTCTCAAATAATCACTGTCTTTGACCAATGCTTCTAATTAAGTCAGTCTCATACCCTGCCTGTGTATTAACCACTAGCAGCTGCCCAGAGGCAGAAATGGGCCAGTTTTAAGCTGTCCAGCTGGGTAAATCGAACATCAAGCCATGAGCAGCTCTACACTCACTAAAGCTTCTCTCAGTGCTGTGGCACAGCCCGACCCAGCTGATCCCAGTGTACTTGCAGAATATGCTTAGTCCAGCCAGGATGAGCTTCTATACCCATTGCCTTGTGCTAATCTGTTCTCTGAAACTTCCTTTAACACCTGTCTCCAGTTTTATCTTTAAATGCAGGAAGCTATTTGCGGCCAATTTAAAATAAATGGCAGTAACTGGTTATTTCATTTTTGACTGCCATGAGTTTTGCAAGTAATAACCTACTATTGCCTCCTACAGTCCATTTTTCTTTTCTTCCTAAGCACTTATCCCTCCTATGCCAAAGAAAAGAAGAATTAAAAACAATTCATCTGTCTAAAAAGTTTGCAGATGTTGACTTGTTGTTAGCAATACTTTATGCTATTACTGCTGAATCCACAGCTCTGAGCTTTTAGAAAGATGCTTTACTGAGTTCTGTGGAAGGTAATTGGTATGTAGATAACCTATTTTTCACTGTTGAAGCTTTGAGCCAGCTCTGAATTTTTCTCTCAGTAAGTTCTGTATTTTTAACTACAGCAGGGCAGTATCAGGTGTGACACAATCTCATGAATTTGAGGGGATTTTCCTAATTTTTTTCTATAATTTATATATTAATCTTATTCACAATTCTTTCTACTTCCCTATATGTTTCCTTGCCTGCTTTTGTACCACCACTTTATAAGTGAACAAAACATTCATCAAGGTCTTGAAGGGAGGTAGACTCCAAAGACATCGATCTGCTTGGGGCCAGAAGAGAAACCCAAATGAAGATTATGGATCTTCTAGACATGCAGACATCTCTGGGTGCAAGAGCCTGGAATCAGCACGTTATAAAGAACTAATAAAGAACTAATCTGAAACCCTGGAGGCAAAAAGGGTTAGGGTCCCGATCTGTGGGACATAGCCCTGGCCAGACCCCAGCCATGATGAGGAGCACTCTGCTCCAAAGGCAAACAGCAGAACAGCTTCCCACCTATGGGCACCCTCAGCAGCTTCCCCTCTTCCCAATGCCATCCCAAAGCTTCTCCTTTGGAGTGAGCCATCTCCCTTGTCCTCTGAGACAGCTAATGGCTGGAATGTCAAAAGTTCAACTGTGAATTCAGGCTTAGAAGGCAGAGTTTTCTCTTTTACACAGTGGAAAATTATGATCAAGGCAGAGCAGCACCTCAAAGTCACATGCTGACCCGTAATCCCAATCTCCTTGCCTTACATTTTCACTTGTCTACCACACGAGCAAGCTACTGAGCTCTGCAGAATAGCAAATGGAACAAGAGGGGAGGTTATTGTTTTGGGTGGCTTTATAAAGGAGTTGATGGTGGCCAAGAATTCATCTCATAATGACTGGGGCAAAGTACTTGTTTATCCATTCACAACTCCATTCACAACTCAGCCACCAGCTCCTGAGTTATCAGATTGTGAACACTCCTAGCAGAAAGATCCAAAACTCTCAGAATTATTTTTATTTTGACACATTATTGGGGTGGAGGAATTTTTTCTTCACACTATCAGAGACTGGAAGTTTTTTCTTTGTTGCTAGTTTTAGCCTAACTTTCCTTTCCCTTGCAGATAAGAGATGAGGAGAGCGGCTACAACAAAAACCTGTTTTGCATTCCTAAGCATTATGAAGAAGATTTAGAAAGAGTCTTCATTCCTCATGGTCTCATCCTGGATCGGTATGAGGGTAAACAGAAAAGAACAGGGACAGTGATGCCAATTTTTGTCCATCCAAATGAAAAGACCAAGGTCCTTGCCCTGTGCAACCCATGAGAAACACGGAAACCCTGCAGCCTAACGTTTCTGTCCTAAAGTCTAGTACAACAGGGGGTTTATGGAGAGGATTCCTCTACAAGCTCAGTTAAGCTTGTATCAAATATCTTTAAGACCTCCTATTCTGCAATATTAAGGTTTATGGATTAAATCAGCTTGTACTGTGCAAATATGTAACTAACTTTCCTATGACTAGCTGTGGTAACAATTTTCTAGCTATGAAAACATAACAGCAAGATGAGAATTTTTAAACTCTTTCCAGAATTCCCTTTTGGTTTTTTTTTTTTTTTCCTCTCACAGGACAGAACGTTTGGCTAGAGATATCATGCAAGACATGGGAAGTCATCACATTGTTGCCCTCTGTGTCCTTAAAGGAGGCTATAAATTCTTTGCTGATTTGCTGGACCACATAAAAGCACTAAATCAAAATGGTGATAAATCTGTGCCTGTTACCGTGGACTTTGTCAGAATAAAAAGCTACTGTGTAAGCAACTTTCTTTGCTTTGGAAAATTGACTCTCTTCATAGAATGGCATTCTAAATACTGGTAGTTTGAGTTTATGCATACAAAAATTGAGCAGTCTGTTCAAATTATGTACTAAAAAGGAAGTGATTTACTGATCTTCCCCAAAGGGTGGATATTACACATTCACTGGAATAAACATACAGCAGAACACTCAACATGACAAAGCCAGGGACAGAGCTCAAACTCCCTCCTCTTGCAAAAATCAAGAGCAGCACACCTTTCAAATAAATGCAGAATAACACTTTTGGGCATGCTTTATGAGACTTCAATCTCTTCTTTCTCCTTCTAGAATGATTCACCTGCAAAAAAAGTCAGTTTTGTTGGAGAGGAACTCTCTACACTAAAGGGGAAGGTACGAATTATCATCTTCAGCTTTTAAAGGGAAACAACTGTTCTTGTGTATTTTCCAGGAAATCCATACTTATTAAGATTTTGATACTGCATACTTCCAGCCACTTAACACTGATTTAAATTTCTGGGCTTTGAAACAGTGAATAATTCCCACTGATCTCAGTGGAAACTTGATCAGTGATGGCTGCTCCCAAAGATCCTATTCCCCATTTTATCCCGGAATGCCCAGAAATGAACCATACTAAACTGACTCATTCAGTGTGGCTCTAGAATACTAGTGCTATACATAGAGCAATGTATAGACCTGACATAGGTGCCTTTATCACCATATTGTAAGCTTTCATAAATACTTACAGAGAGACTCTTCGGAAAGCACCAAAATAAAGTCAGTAGTTCAAGCGACAATCTCCTTTGAAAATCAGTGCAACTTCCTTTAACTGAGGGTTTTAGTGTGCTTTTCTTGGCTGTATAATTTGCTGAAAATTGACATTTAAGTATTTTCTTTTATTTTCTTTTCTTTCCTTCTTTCCCTATGTAATCTCTTCCAGAATGTGTTAGTAGTAGAGGTAAGTAATGACTGAACTAGGGGTAGAATGACATGGATTTTTTTTCTCACTTCTTTTCAAATTAATATACATTACATATAAAATAATAATTAATTATGTTACTGGGCTACCACGTTGGTGTCCTCTAATTTAATTCACTTACAGTCTGGTTTTCCTTTCAAATTTGAAGGATAATTTGTTTTTTTATCTCTTTCAGGACATTATTGAGACTGGTAGAACAATGAAAGCTCTGCTTTCAAAAATAAAAGACAAGAAACCAAGGATGGTAAAAGTTGTAAGGTACAAAGATATAGCCACTAACTTAATATATTAAAATAATTTGGGTGAATAGTCAGTGTATGCTGACAGGTGCTTGCTTGGCTTGAAGTTTGGGGGTGAGGAAGCAAATGCAGGAAGTAATCCTTACGCAGCTGCTGAAAAATTAAGTGTTTTTTAAACTGTGAAATTTACCTGTGCACTATCATCTTCGCTGCTCAAATTAATGAAAAAAGGTTTTATGGCTCTTTCCATGCAGTCATAAAATCTGATGGATTCCCTGTTTCTTACTTTATGTTTGAAGGAATTTAATCTCTTTCTGTAGGTTTTTTAACACCACCTCAAGTTGCCTCAATACTAGAATGACAACACTCAGAATATTTCTTAATATCCTCAGCCGTAGAATATTTCTTCATATCCTCAACCGTAGAAGCTTCCAGAATCTAGGAGTCTGTCAGCACTGGGAAGATGCCTTCAAGTAGCATTCTAGATCTGCTTTTAGTAGATCTCTAAAGAAATTTTGTGGAATATCCCTGTGTCTGTCAAGTAACCACAATGCTTTATAAAAACAGCTGCTTTAAGCATCAGTTATTCAGACAGTCCTTCTAGTGGCTGTCCAGGAGGTTCTCAGTTTCTTCTGAAGTGCACAGACAAGCCATGAATAGATATGGTTTTGCAGAAGAAATCTTCTTTTTCTCCCTCCCTCCCTCCCATGACCACCTTCTTTTTTTCCCGAGTGCAGATTTAGCTACTTAATACACAAATTTAATTATTTAGATAGCAGAAACAGAATCAAATCTCAACTGTGTTTTGCTTTGACCCCAGAGGGCATTTGTTTTGACATTTGGCATTATTAAATTTGCCTTGTTTCCAAACTGAAAAGTCTACTGAATCACTCAAGTAAAATCTCCCTCCTTTTCTCCTCTCTCAGGACTAACTCATAACTAGGTTTAAAACAATTATTTTGTTAATAAAAATCATTCTCTTAACACCTTAATTATATTACTGACTGATGGGAATGGTTTAGATTCTAACCTCTGACATCAATTTACAGCTCCGATTCTTAAGACAGCACTCTGAAAGAGATGATGCCTATTACTTTCAGCTCAAGTATGTGTTGAATACCATCTGTGTACTTAAAAGCTACTTACACCACCGAATTATAAAAAGAACTGTATTTTTTTTACAGATACAGGCTTTGAAATTCCAGATAAATTTGTAGTTGGATATGCTCTTGACTATAATGAATACTTCAGAGACTTAAATGTAAGTACATGCACATTCCTCCACTGCCAGGTATCAGGTACCTACCTACCACAGGTACCCGGCAAGAATATTTGCTTCTACTCAGACCTTCTCAACAATTAAAAAAATCTTCAATTCCAGCTGTAAACTTCCATTAAAAGAGCAAAACCATATTTAAGGTGCTGAGTTGGTAATGCAATGTAGGTGCATAAGAAATGTTTGTGCTTCACCTTTTCATAATTCTACTCCACAAGTCGCATGGCTCAGCCATGCTGCAGGACATTCTGAACCCCAAGGATGGTGAGCAGCATACAATCTGTGGCCCAATCTAAAAATAAAATAACTTGTAATTTGACTTTAATTGGATATTTGTCAGTCTTAGTTCAATCCCATGTTGCTCTTCTGTCACCAAGTTTATAAAGTGGCTGTGCAGGGGCTCCGTGTGAAGGTTTTCCACACACTTATGGATAACACGGCTGCAAGGTCTCTCTTCCCTTATTCTATTACAGCTTCCTTAGGCTGCAAAAAGTAGTAGACTTGGAAACATCATAAACTAATAGGGTTGATCTGTTTTCCAATGTCCTTCCTTAATTCTTGTTAACTCAGAAAGGTTTTCACTTCTAAGTCTTTACTAAGACGTCAGTTCTGCTGAAGACACAGAATCTGTGCTATAGCTCAGCAGCATGAAGATGAATGCAGTAATTTAACAAGCCTAAGTTCTTTAGGATATATAAACCTATATGATGCCTTGTGAAGGCTGACCTAGCACAGAGGCTAGATGGATTTAAAGAACAAAGTAGGGATTTACCAAAAGGCCTCAATGGATCCACCTTGGGCAGCACAAGAGCCCAGCCAGGGCTGCACCCAAGATGAACCAAAATGGTCACAAAATGCACGAGCGCTCACAGGGTCACTCACTGTGATCAGTTCTGCTCCATTTGCATATTGGAGTTCATTGTCCAGTTCCAGCTTTAGGTTGTGAAGTCCCATCCTTCTTGTTCTTCTCTCTTCAGCCCATGTTGTTTATGCTTTTGGGCCTGAGATTTGGATCATTTGTCCTTGGTCCCCAGCTGGAGAAGGAATTGTTTTGTCTCCCTACTCTGTGAAGAGAGTTTACCTTCCCATAATATGAAACTCAGAACTACACAGTAAAGCTACACAGAATCTGAAAAATGTAAAATCTAAAACCTAAGGCATCATATATATTACAGATAAACTTGGAAAGAATACTAAAATCTCAAGTTTACTGCAAGCAGGAAACTTGCAATAATTATGGTTCTAGTGTGTTTTTATTACAATGCTGGGAATGCAATTGAAAAATCAGTCTTGCATTTCATTCGAAGACAGAGATTGATAAATATTGTACTATTTTTTTTTCTTTTAGCACATCTGTATTCTGAAAGAGAATGCCAAAGAAAAATACAGGATGTGATAACATCAGTCTCCTGGAGCACCAATTCCCGGCTACAGATTAGGTGACAAACATTACACCGTGGAATTACTTTTGCTACTTGTGTGTCCCTAAGAAGAACGAGCAGCTAAATGTTACTGCCCAGGAGCTGCAGCTCGCCGATTCCCACGTGTGCTAGGCGCTGAACACAAACTGTTGAGACCCTGGGATTTTCGTTGTGGAGCAGCAGCCCGGAGCTGGGGCCGAGGCTCTGGCGATATCGAGCGCTGCCGCCGAGCCCCTTACGTTCCGGGCCCGGGAGCGAATCCACCCCGCTGTGCCCGGGGACCGAGGGTGCACCAGGGCTGGAACAGGCGGGGACCGAGCCGGGACCGAGGCATATCGAGGGCGGAACGAGGAGGGACCGAGGCGGGACTGAGGACGGATCGAGGGGAGACCGAGGCCCGCCCGGCGCCATCGCCCCGGCCCCGCCCGGCCTCAGCGTCCCGCCTCGGCCCCCGGCCCGGCCCGGCCCCGCACTCGGAGTTTTAATTTAAGTGCATGATTTTAGAACCTTTTGGAGGGACCTTTTGGAGGGGCGTGGCAGAAGGGAAGTCTACAAATTAGAGCAAGACATATTTTAAAAACCAACCTTCTCTGCTCTGCCTTACAGCCTGCTTGTTAAAAGGACATGTCAGAGTCCAGGTTACAGACCAGACTGTAAGTATAATGTTTTTCTAGCATTTTTGTTCTGTATTTTCCAAATCACAGTCTTGCAATTTCACTTCAGGCAGCACATCT